CAAAAAGGACCCTTCTCAGTTGCGGTCATGGGTGATAGTGCAGCTGAGTAAATTAGCACTGAAATGGGGCAGGAAGCCATCGACACTCTCCCAGTTCAGATGACTAGAGCGGAATGCTTTGAACTTCAGTTCCTTGGCTTGAGGAACCTTGCTACAGGGCAGGTGCAAGAAGTCCCACCACCAGTGGCCAGCCATTGTGCCTTCTCCTCTTCCCCATCCGCAGCCGTGCCCTTTTCCTCTCTTGCCACGAGTGCCTTGCTCACGCGAGCACACGGGCCGGGCTCTTGCTGCGGGGCTTTCCAGCCAGCCCTGCTCCAAGGGTCGCCCGAGCCCTCTAGAGACTGACACCCTTGGCTTTCTCGTTGCAGAGTGGGAGACCCTGGAAAGCATTCAGCCCCCTTACGCATCACTCTGAGGGGGCCTCAGGGGAACGAGGCACGAAGCAGGCAGTGGCCACCGCTTAGAGGACCACAGTGCTTGGTTTTTGCTCACCTGCTTCTTGACCTTGCCTCTCCCAACGTGGCACTTCCAAGATCTGTTGGATGAAAACGCTTGGCCTCTCCAGCCACTGCAGCCAATGCCCGCAGGCTGGGCATGATTGGGGTTGTAGTCCAACATGCTGAAAGCCCCATGCTGGGGAGAATGGGATTACTTTACAGGGCTGGAAGGGGCTCACCGTTTCCATGTTCTCTCACTCGCTGCTTCGTGATGCTGTTTTCCCAGAATGCACAGGGACAGCGTGTTATTCTAGGACGAAAGTGTGGCAGCCAATCCTCCACCCCAGCACATTCCCTAACAAGGAAAAGGGGGCCTGGAACGGTGGTTGGAAATCCAATTTCAACCCACAGAGGGCAAAACGAATCGCGTTAACAGCAAGAGGCAATGTTATAACACGGCCTCTGCCCCCCAGTGATTCATGATTACTTGCTTAGTGGAAATGAAGTTGATGGACCCGGGTGTTCAGGTGTCTCCCCACTCCAGGCTGTGGTTCCGACCCAGTTAGCTTCAGCAAGGGGCTGCGTCATGTGTCTTTGTGTCAGATCATGCCCCGGTGCAAAGAGAGGCTCTTTGCATCGTTATGCCAAGCGCCATGTGCTGAGGGAAGGGGTAACCGTGTTCTTCCACAACATGTTGTAAGCTGCTGGGGGGGAAGCCGGGCAGCAGTTTTTCCAGTGCTCCTGGCTCCAGCCACAGAACTGTGTCACTGAAATAAGACCTTTATCTTCCTGGTTATCCTCCTCAACAAGTCACGAGCGTTTGTTTGGAAAAGCTGTTATCCGAAGCATCTCTCTGGAAATGCTTGAAAGAGATCCCCTGGGCCCTGCCTCCCACTTCAGAGATGCAGAGGCTTCCATCGTCTGAAAAATCTGGAAATTATCTTGGGTCTTTGAACAATTGCCCTCCTGCATGGCCAAATGGAGCTCTCCCAGCTTGTCCCCCAGCGCAGTTCTCTCCTCCGCTGGACCATCTGCTTTGTTTGTGATGATGGCCTTCGGGAGGGGTTGCCGAGTGCAGAAGAGACTCATCCTTTCCTCCCCCCACTGCACCCCCAAAGTTCCTTCAGGAAAGTGAAGGTTGCAGCTCTGAAAAGCATCCAGTTGTTCATTTGTAGGAGATTCGTTTCCAGTTCGATCCGAGCATGGCCAGTTAAAAGCATCAGATAGCAGGAAAAAGGTAACTAGAGGGACATCACTGTAAACAATATTGGAATAGCTAGTCCAGTTGTCAGACGATGTAGCAGATCAGTTCCTCTGAAGATGCCACACAGCTTTCCCTTGGCGCAGATTCAGTGCATTTCTGACCCTCCCAGTGGGGGTGAACTGAAGTGGATCCTAAGACCCATGAGGATAAAAGTGCTCATCGTCAGGGTGCGAAAGATGCTTCTCATCTCTTGCAATGTGCTGCAAAGGAGTCGGCAGTCGTGGGAAAGACGGTGTGGATGTCTTTCTAACTGGGCAGAGCCGCATCCTGTAGAAAACGCGAGCAGTTTGGAATTCAAGGAGACGTTTTCGACTGTAAGGTGATGGACAAGACTTCTGCTAAGCGCCTGCTTTAAAAAAGGCACCAATTCATGAGCAATGCAGAGGGGTTCAGGAGATCCCCTGAGCCTGCCCTCCTCACCCTTGTAATAGTTCCTGTTCGTCTTGCAGGAACTCGTCTCGAGGGAGGCCGGGGCCTGGGTCCCTTTGCAGTGGCTTTGTGCAACCGCGAGTGAAGAAAGGGGCCACGGCTCGGCCGGTCTCCGGGGGCCTGACTCAGGAGGGCGAGGCGAGGCGGGCGAGGCAGAGCAGGCGTCATGAGCTTGCGAGGCCTCCGGGGCCCCAGAGGATGAGCCAGAGCCCGGCGGGTTCGTCTGCACGTGGCTGCTGCCTCTGCTTTTGCCGCAGCAGTCCCCGTGCCTGGAAGGCCCGATTCCGTCCAGGCAAGGGAGCCAGGAAAAGCGAAGCGCGTCGTCAGGGGGGAAGTGGTTTTGAGAGAGCCGCTGCCGACCCGAATGCTGCCCGTCTGGGGGGGGGCTTGTGGCGGCCGGAGCTGGCAGCCGGCGACCTCGTTCTGCTGACTTTGGCTGGCTCTTGACCGCTCCGGCTGCTCCTCATCACCCGCGGATACACTGGGACTGCTCACACTCGACAGGGCAAGTCCTGTCCCTCCATTCTGGGGAGACAAAGGGCGGCTGTTGAGCTGGGCGAGGAAGAGGCAGTGCCCTGGGGGGAGCCCCCCAGCGCCGCATGTGCTCTGTGGCAGCCCTGCTCGAGAAAGACGGGGTTCTAAGCCACAAGGGCGTTATTACGACGCTGCTTTTGCACTGCCCGTTTGGCTGCTTTTTCTGCCTCCCAACATCTGGGCTTTTGTCAGCCAGGACTAGGATATTGCAGAGGGGCCCTGCTGCCCCCAAAGGGGCGGAATATGGGGCTACTGTCAGATTTAGCAAAGGAGCCTCCTGCACAGCAGCAGGCCAAGGTTTCGTGGTGATGTGCGAACTGTTTGCAAACTGCCAGGCTCCCAAGGAAGGCCTGAAAGTTGGGCTGGGCCGAGCAATTCCCAGGTGGGAAGAGGAAATGCTTGATGCGCAGTTGCTGGTGGCATGTGCGCCGCAGACTGGAACCTGGACTGAGTCAGGGTCCAGCTTAGGGGAGGCTTCCCCAGCTGCTCCTCCCAGCTTTCCCAATCCTTGTTCAAGCTGGCTGGAGAGGAGGAGCTGTGGAGGCCAGGAACAGCTGGAGGTCCCCAGACTGGGGGATGCTGATTGAATTCCTCAACTCAAGAGTTCCCCTCTTACTGGAAAATGGAGTGAGGTGCCGCTTTAAATACAGCTAGTTAACGAAAATATTTTGACACCCACGGGGAGCAGGACCCTGATCGTGGTGGCCCCTTTGGTATGCCATTCGTCCGGGTAACTCAGCGGCAGCGTGCTGGTCCACGGACCGCTCCGGGGTTGTCTCTGGTCCTGTCATATGTTCCAGGAAGGCAACTGCCGTGCTGTTTGTTTGCAAGCACAGAATGGATTCTGCAGCAATTAGAGAAAAGCCTTCACTTTCCAGCTCACCCGCCGCAATGGGAAAAGTCTCCACGCAGCGGGGCGAGCGCTCTTTCGCGCCAAGGGCTGTGGCCAGTGGCTGGAGGGCCGAGCGGGGTCCCCGGGACCAGGTGTCACTCCTTCCTCTACATGATGCCCATTAGGAGACGCTGCCCACCCTCCACTCATGCCTGCCTCTGACATTTTCCCCTCTTGCAAAGAAGCCCAGGCATCTTGCAAGCCCTCCTTCGCTCGTCACATCCTCACCACAACCCCCCGGTGAGGTAGCCAAGGCTGAGACTCCGCGCCTGGCCCAGCTTCGTGGCCGAGGAGCCTGGATCTCCCCAGGCACTAGGGGGGCACAACACATCTGGCGAACACTCTGGCAGATTTTTTTTTTTAAAGGAAAGTGACCGCCATGACTTCCGATAATACCAGTCCAGCTTAGGTTGTGATGTTGCAATTAGTATGACTTAAACCCAATTGTCTTCCTCGTCCTCAAGGCAATGATGCTTTAAACATAGCTGATAATTGGCTTGAGAATATTTGACTGACCAGTTGGCAAAATCCAAAAGCCGGCCAACCCAAGAGAGTCCTGCGTGACCACTTCTGTTTTACACTTCAGAATCTTCCACAATGCACTCAGGGGAACGCAGGCGAGGAGAGCTGTGGAGGACACTCTGTTTGTGGGGGGACATTTTGCGGGAATGCATTTTTCCGGTGGCTGGATGCTCCAATCGAATTATCCCACAAATGGGGAAGTGGAACCCCACACACTTAGAACACACACAGGACCTGAAGGCTGGACAAGGTGCCCGGAAACCTGCCTTAGCACCCGAACGTGCCGGTGGTGGTGCTTTGCTTTGTTTTGGCTGCAGGTAGCATTGGCTGGTGCGGGTTGGGCCGGATTATTTTTGGAAAGGACGTTTTCTCCCCCTGCGACGGCTTGGGGGTGGGCGGTGGGGAAAAAACCTTTCTCTGCGATCAGCCACAATTTGCATGGAAAGAAAGCCACCTGAGCACCAATAGGGGACGCAAACCCCTAAACAAAACCAAAGCATATGCCATCTTCAGAGGAATTTTACACAGCAAAGAGTGAAATATTCCCTCCTCATCCTCTTGCAATTCTGATATTAAAGATAATTCCTAAGTCTGCACATTAAGGATAAAGATCCGCTGAAATGAAGGCTACAAATACTATATGTCAGCGGAAGTTCCTAGCCTGTCCCTCACTCAGCTGCACAGAATTCCCAATCGATGACTGGCTGGTGCTAAAATGCAAGGCTGGGTGTGAGATCACGCCTCGCTCGGCCCTTGGGAACCCAATTTGCTGTGGGGTGTGTGGGCTCACGTCCCCCTCTCGCCACTGATCGATTGCTTCTGGGGATGGCGGGGATCCTGTCCCAACAGGTATTTGGCCAAGCTGTCCTCGGTGGGAAGCATTTCGGAAGAGGAGACCTGCGAGAAGCTGAAGGGCCTGATCCAGCGCCAGGTGCAGATGTGCAAACGGAACCTCGAAGTGATGGACTCGGTGCGCCGGGGCGCCCAACTGGCCATCGAGGAGTGCCAGTTCCAGTTCCGCAACCGTCGCTGGAATTGCTCCACGCTGGACAGCCTGCCGGTCTTTGGCAAGGTGGTCACCCAAGGTGAGAGCCCTGCTCCGTTTGGGGTGTTCCCTAGAGAGGAAAGCCGGTTGGCGTGGAGCCGCCTGGGGCCCTCCAGATGCCTTGGACAGCCTCTGCCAGGACAGTGGCCACACTTGCTGGGGCGGATCGGAGTTGCAGTCCAAAGCATCTTCGAGGCGTCCGTTGGGGAAGGCCAATATTGACTTCAGCAGCAGAGGGAACTGAGGGAAAGTTCCAGTTTGGGAATAAAGCGGGGGTAATTATGCGGGGAGGGGAGTGCCCCAAAGTGGCACGTGCATTTCAAGGGCTGCATCAGTCAAAGACGACTTTAAATGAGCCTCAAGGTTGCTCCAACCCTACAGAAAGGGCCGTTCTATTTATATTCCACTTCTTTTGTCCGGACGGCTGGGGTGTGGAGCCTTCTCGCTCAGGCTTCCGAGCAGCGATGCCTCCTTCTGCACAGCCGCCTGCAAATACTTCATTCCCCCACCCCCGCGATCGTCAGCATTTCACAGCCCCTGAACATGCCTGCTTTCTGCTGAGCTGCTTCTGGGTTTCCCCACATTGGGTTGTTTTCCAAAAGGTGTCTTTATGGAGGGTTTCGTTTTATAAGTGCTTCTGCAAAGCCGGAGCCAGCTGATACCTTCCTCTGGACGTGTCTTCGGCTGCAGGAGAGGTGGCTCTTAAAGAATCAGTCTGCCAAGATTTTTCTAGCAGGAATGGGAACTTCGGGCTGTGTGGAAGCAGGCATCCCCAGCGGGCATGGCCAGGGGTCAGGGACCACATCTCAGAGGCCGTTGGCTCTCCCTGCTCCAGGCTGAAGGGGGTGGAAATCAGCTGGCACACATGAAGTTCTCAGGTGGTCTCTCTTCAAGAGGCTGACCAGGCAGGGATCCGCTTAGCTCCATCAAGCTCCCTGCATCAGCTGCTACACCGTACAGGCTGCACCACCCTCCCAAAGCTTGGTGCAACACTTCCTGGTAAATTGCCAGGTGGACTGGAAACTCCCTTCTAGCAACCACCTTGGCAAGGAGCTCTCGTGAACCTCGTGCAGCGGGCAATGGAGCCATTGGCTGCATCATCTTAGCAAAACCACCTAGTCCATCCATCCCAGTCCCAACAGCAGCTGGTCAGACACTTCCAGGAAGTGGCTCAGACTCAGGATGTGAAAGGACCAGCCCTTTCTTGTTGCAAACTCTACCTCTGGTTCTGTTTAGCTACTTGGCTGAGTGCGACTGAATACTGGCCTCTTCATCTTTCATGAGCTTATATGCAAATAAAAGGGAGAACAGAAGAAGGACTGAGACTGGTCTTGGTGCCATCTCGAGTGATTTCTTCTCCTTTACTCCTCCAAAAGCCCCAATGTTTGAGCTGCTTGGGGTGGAGTTGCCCTACCTCCCTGCCTTAGTCAGGTCCCGAGTGCCGCAGCCTCTTCGGCCCCCACCTCCGCTTCTTATTTAACTTTCCCTGACTCGTGTTCCGACGGGGAGGATGAAGACGTGTGCTTAGAGAGGTTAGCAGTGGAAATGCCAGGAATACCAGTGACTGAACTCGTCTCTCTTCTCGGCGGCCGCAAAGCAAGACCAACCGACGTTCGCCTGCTCTTAACGACAACGAACTCGGAGGTCGTTGAGTTGCTCCTCCAGCGCGATGGTGAACTTCAAGCCCCCTGCATGGTCTGGACTGCCAAGTTGTTCCCCCCGCTTCCTCACTGAGCTGTGGGGGGGCAGTTTTGGGGGTCCAGTTATCGCCCCTGATAACTGTGGGGACAAAGTGAAGGTCTCCAGCCTGCGCCAGGATGCTGCAAGACCAAAGGGTCTGCTGCACTCCAAGGACCCCTTGGCAGAACCGAGTGTTGTGAGACTTAACTGAGAGTGGCCAAGCCGATATTCCCTGTTTGCTCCACTCACACACACACCAGCCGCCCACCTGGGGACAGGTCTGGGGCCGAGAACATCCAGGGGGACCTCCGCGGCTGTAGCTTCTCCTCCATGGGGGCACGAAACAGCCACTCTCTTGTTCTGCAAGTTTCTCCTGCAAAGAATGGGCGTTGTGCTACTAGGCAATGCTACTGTGGAGAAGAGACTCCTGGCTTAGGGGCAGAGTGAAAGAGCAGAAAAGAAGCCGAGGAGTTGTTTGGATCCTGCTGAGGGGTTCTGAATAGGAATGGAATGGCTGTTTTTAATCCTTTTGTTACGGTTGACTTTGAACCAATAGAGTAGGATGGAGCTGGGAGAAGGGAAGGGAAGATGAGAGCTAATGAGAAGATTAGAAGTGCCCCCCAAAAGGGGTCTCTCTGAAGACAACGTTGCATGATGCGGCCTCTCAAAGACCCCTGAAGCTCTCCAGGTGGAAGCAAAACTCTCCCAGCAGGTTCTCTGGGTGGGGCTCCCCCTGGCCTCTGCTGCTCTAGGGGGAAAGCCATCTCCCCAGTTTCTCTGCAGTCGTGCTTGCAGTCCGCGACAGGAGCATCAGCTGCCTCTTCCCGTAAGGATTTTGCATCCTGCATGACCCCCTGGAGTGGACGGCCTCCTGGGCACTGAAGGGTCATGGTACGATGGAGGAGAATTGTTGGAGAGTATTTTGTCAAGAGGCTTTATTCCAGTGGGGAGTGGGAAGACAAACATCTCAGCAAGCCTCAGAAAAACGAGAAGACAGAGAAATACGTGCTCTCTCTTCCCAAAAACAGCCGGAAAATGAGACTACTCAAGGCCAAGCCTAAGCACGTATCACCCCGGATAGGAGTAGAGCCCTTAGTTGGTGAGTGGAAACAACATCAGTTACGGACCTCCCTTGCAGGATTGGACCGAAAGGTTTCTGTCTCGCCCAGGATCCTGTTTCCAAGAGTGGCCAGCAAAATGCCTCTGGGAAGTCCACATGTAGGATCTGAGAAATGATGGCCTTCTTAGTATTTAGTGTTCACACTGGAGGCATTTGTCCCTAGCATTCAGGGGTGTTCGGCTGTAATGTGGAGGCCCCACTGCGGCTGAATTGCTCTAGTAATCTTTACCATTTTATCAAAATTGCCCTTCCTCTAACAGTGGCCAGCCAGTTGCCTGCGGGAAGGTCAGGAGGAGCACTTGGTAAAAGGTTGTCCTTTGCCTGCATCACCCCGGCTCCAAACACAGAGGGAGCACCATGCTTTCCTGCTGGTCTTTCTCTGAAGAGCAAGGGCTTCTAATTGAGACGCATCCTTGCCACGAACTCAGTTGCTAGACTTGCCTCTCCTTTCCCTCCAGAGGCCAGAACTTTGACACTGAGCAAAAATAAAGCCCAGGATCTTAAATGTCGGCAAGTGGTTTCCGAAGAATGGGGGAGACAGCCCCATGTGATCCGGACTGCATCTCAGCTGTGGATCTCCATCTGAGGTCCTGGATGTAGTGGTCTTAGCGCCCCATTGCTAGCTTTTAGAGAGTAAAGCATATTCCTCTACTTCAGAATGTAGGAAGCTCTCCTTGCTACTTTTGGGGCCTGGATGATTATTCATCTGAGCGGGGCCCAAGCTTTTCTGCCCAAATAGCTCAGGACAACCTAGGACGGCTCTCAGGTATCTTGTCTTTGCAAAATTCTCGCCATGGCTTCGTCAGCGAGGCCTTTTCTGGGACTTGCGAGTGGTGGGAGAAACGGTCCACAGGAGCAGCTCTGGGCTGCTTCCTGTCCCACGCCCGTCATCTTTCAGCCATCATCTTCCACCTGGCTGCACCTGAGATGAGTCGGCAGCACCCCGCCCGGTGGCTCGGCTGACAGACCTGTTCCACGGGACAAATCCTGCTGGGCTTCACACCCAGCCCTCAGCAACGTTACCTGAAGAACCAGCGCTTACCGTTCGTTGCTTGTTTCCCTCCCGCCGCCCCGCCCCCTTACCTTTTGTGTCGTGACCTGTAGATCAGGAACCTGTGTGCAATCTGATTTCCACCAGATCTTATTTATGCTGCTCTGGGAGCTTTTTGGTCCAAGAGCGAAAGGAAGAAAAGCTTTCAATGGGTGGGTGTCAGCATGGTGGACTTTTCTTTTGGTGGCCACTGCCTCGGGGGCCCTTAACAGACCCAAGAAAGGATACGCCTTTTCCTGCCTGATGCTTCTGTGGATGGGCAAAGTTGCCCCTTGCATTATTTGGCTTTTGCCCCCCTCGCCAGCTTTACAAAGCACCCCACTGCCTCTCGTTTCGTGCAAATGCAGACCAGAAAAATCCGGAAATGTAAAATGGAATGATCCAAGCAGGCGTGGGGAGTCCTCCCCAGGGAGCAAAACATGCTCTGCCTTCCCCGGGAGGAGGTGGAGGCCCCATCGGTGTGGGCGTTCAAGGATAGGCTGGACGTGCACATGGTGGGCGTGTCGTGAGCGGAGCCGGCTGGAGCCGGGGATCAGACCGGATGGCCCGGGAGGCCCCTTCTGGCTCGCTCTGCTTCTGTGTCCACACCCGCATGGCGCACTCACCCGTGTGTCTTCTCTGCTCCCCCTGCCAGGGACGCGAGAAGCCGCCTTCGTATACGCCATCTCCTCCGCGGGGGTCGCCTTCGCCGTGACGAGGGCCTGCAGCAGCGGAGAAATCGACAAGTGCGGCTGCGACCGCACAGTGCACGGAGTCAGCCCTCAGGGTGAGTTACCCGTGTGGGGACAGAGGACGGTGGACTGCCGCCGCGAGGCCTAAGCGCCAGGGTTCCTGACTCGTGGAGGAGAATGCACCTTGCACTCTCCCGAGTGCCCTCCAGAGGCCGCTGGCCCCCTAGCGCCCATTCCTCTGGCACAACGGGCACTGCAGCTCAACATCTGGAGGGGTGCAAGTCCCCCGCTGTGCTCAGTGCAGGACCCCCCCCCAGTGCAGGACCCTCCGCTACCGCCAGAGGCCCGTCCAGCTTCCACAAGTGGCAATGGAAGGTGGGGAGGGATGCAGGTCCCGCTGGGTTTTGGTTCTTTTTCCTGGCTCCTCTCACGATTTGTACCCCTTCCCTTCTTTTATGGGGGCAGCAGGATTAAGGACAGCTGCTCAGCTGGCCCTACACCACGTCACCACAATGCAGGTGGGTGATTGGAGGTTTCGATGCTTTGGCCCAGGGAACAGCAAAATCACAATTTGCGTGTGAGTTCTGAATGGAGAGGGAACTCTGTGATCCAATGCCCACCTATGTTCTAATTCCTGTGATCCCAGCGGTGACACAGGAGGTCTGAAGGGAGGAATTCTGCTCCCTTTGGCGTTAGAATCCTCTCAAATTAGGAAGCACCCAACTAGCCCATCGTGGTCTTTCCAACGGGGCAAAGCGGGAAAGCTCACAAGGAGGGCAGGTAAGAGCAGCCCTGCTGGATGAGACCAAAGGTCCGTTCAGTCCCGCGGTCTGTGCGACAGATGGCAAAGCAGGGTCCCTCAAGCAGGACGGGTGCAAGACCTCCTCCTGCCCAAGCGCCTTAGGCATGCTGGCAAACAAGCCGCCCATGGCCAGCAGGATGAGTCGCCACTGATAGCCCCAGGTTGGTGAGTGGGTGAGGGAGCGATCTTGTAGGATGTCCAGTCCAAGTAGGACATCTAAAACGAGAGCGCCGCCAACCGACATCTGCTCCGGCCTCCGTTCACAGGGCTCCTGCAAGACAGCGCTGGGTTTCTTTGGATCCTTTGGAATTCGTTCTTGAACTGTTTGTGTTTTCAGGCCCCTTCTCCAAATGTCCAACCAAAATTTACTCTGTTGCAACCAACGCCCCTGCGGTTTGGTCACACCCTCTAGGGAGTGATGGAGAGCAAGTTCTTCCCTCTTCCATGGCACCAAACAGGAGAGGCTGATTCCTTCCCCTCGTTTTTCTCTAGTATCTGATATTCAAAGGCACTTTCTGAACTGCCCAGAGAGCCTTTGAGCTTTAGTATAGGAATGAAATAAATAAAAGCTTTAGTATAAGAATGAAATAAATAAAAATGGGGGTTTTGTTAGGCTGTTGGGGCAAATACTGTGAATGGATCTGTCCTCCATATTTTTAATTTTATTTCATTAATTGAAATACAAGTGCTTATTAAAAACTGCAGAAGGAAGAAACGTTCCCTCCTATGTGTCCGAGACTGGGGAATGCCTCCCCTGAGACAAAGGCGCTTGCTGTGAAACGGGCCGGTGCCACCTCGGACCAAAAAGAAAGGAGTCCTGCCCATGCAAATGTATGCTGTTAATCCATCAGCTAAAACCCAGTTAATCAAACTCAGGGTTCAATACCTGAGTGACAGGCATAGCTTTGTGCAGAGGAATGAATGGGCTCGTGGGTGTCTGCCTGCTGGGGCTTGAACTTGGTCTTCAGGACTAGCAACTTTGCATGCCTCGCCTTGTCCTGGCAATGCAGCTATGTGGTTCTGTTGCTGGACGTCGCCAGGGCCAAAGCCACCCTGTGGCATTGTCAGGACACTCCAGAAATGCCCCTGTGGTTCTCGCCCCAAATCCTCCTCAAAACAAAGGAACCGAGCATGCAGCTCCAGGCTGCTGCTGGCTCTCTCGAGGCTGAGTGAGAAAAGGCGGAGCTACCTTCACAGAAGTGGCCTTGAAAGTCACCTCCACTTCTGGTGGGCTGGGGAGAGGAAAGAAGGCCGCCATGGGTCCTGCCAGGGCCACTGGAGTGACCCCTGGGAAGTTGTGTAGGGCCCATCGGCTGGCCCGTGCTGAGGGGCCCTCAATCCTTGAGCAGAGCCAACCTCTGGGCCTCTCGAGAGAAGAATGGGAAGGCGCTCTCTTGGTTGGAGGTCATTCTACGGAAGACGACCAACTGCTCTCATGCCCAAGCCAGCATAGCCACTTGCTGTCTCTCTGCCATCCCGCAGGCTTCCAGTGGTCCGGCTGTTCCGACAACATTGCGTACGGAGTGGCCTTCTCGCAGTCTTTTGTGGACGTGAGGGAGAGGAACAAGGGCGCGTCCTCCAGCAGGGCCCTCATGAACCTTCATAACAACGAAGCAGGACGGAAGGTAATCGTGGCCCCGGCGTGCGTGGCCCATGCAGGAGCAGCATTTCTCCCTGTCTGTCTTGGCTGTTAAAGGAAATGAATGCAGAGTTATTCTTCGTGGTGTCTGTGCATTCACACACATGGGCTGCCATCACCTATATGTGCGAAAGCACAGATGACCACTGGAAGAACGACAGTGACAGGTAAGGACACCTGTCTTTTCCAGCCACCAAGGCTGTGGAGGAAAGTGCTGAAGCACCTAGGCCATGGTCAAGGGCCTAAGAGGGGTGGAGGAGGAGGTGGTCTTCTCAGAACTGCTGCCTGTCCCTTCTGCTGCCTTCCGCTCTGACCCTACGTCAGTTCTCTCGACCTGAATGGGGCCACCAAATGGCGTCGTGTCGAGGGAGCCTTCAACCCTGAAGTTGGCCCCAGCTGCCGACGGCAGGAGCTGCAAAGTCAAAGAGTTGGAAGGCGCCACCTGAGGCCATCAAATGTAATCCCCGGCTCCGAGCAGGAATCCAGCTGAAAGCATCTTTCACAAATGGCTGTCCGAGAGTTAGCACATTTCGAGGGCAACCTGTCGGGAAAAGAAAGGATGCCCTGAGGCACAACCTGGCGTCTGAACCCTTCAAAAATGTCCCACGTCTGATGTCCTTGCTGAGCTGCTCCAAAAACAAGGCTGTGGCTACCTTGATGGAGTCCGTCCTTCCTTCGTTTGGTCTTCCTCTTCTGCAGCCGCTACCAGTCTGTGCTGACAGTATTGGGCTAGACAGACCAGAGGAGGTCCAGTTTGAAGCAGAATCCAACATTCTGATGACAATTGTTTATAGAATAATTCTGCATTTTAAACGCAAATGGTGCATACATTATCCTGGGGGGAGTCAAGGAACAATCCCAGGGCAATGCGTATCATCACTGTAATCTTAGCTCATCACAGATTTGAGCCCATGTCCACACACTTACAAATAGAGTTTTGCAAGCCAAAGGCTAGAAACATCTCTGGTGTGTATGAAAAACCTTGCAGGCCCTTGTAGTACCACCTCCTGCTCAGCGCAGGAAATGCAGCGCCATCGAAAGATATCCGGTGCCATCCAGTCATCTGCAATGTATGGTGGCCCTACCCAGGAATGCCCTCGGAAATGTGCTGTCCTTGACTAAAAGCTTCTTCTGGAACTGATCCAGCTCTTCTTTGGCCTTCCCTTGTATCTCCCGCCTTTGGCTCTTTCTGGCATGGTGGTCTTCCAGGGAGTCTGGCCTCTCACGATAAGCCCAAAGTTGGCCAGCCTCAGTTTTGTCAGGGTTGCTTCTGGCTTGGATAGGGGACTCAGTCACATGGACGGGGTGAGCTGCAGGGTCAGGAGGGCCCAGATCCTGGTGGGCTTACCCGGTAGGACTGGTGCTAACAGCCATGCTCTGAGACGCCCCAAATGGATGGGTCAAGCTGCCATTTTGATTTCCAACAATGGAAGGCCCTTAACGCACTGTGATGAATTTGAAAGTGGCGGTTGGAGTGGCTAAGGAGAAAAAAACATTGAAAGGAGGTCAAGAGGAGGCCTTGGGTCTCCGGACATTAGCACTTTCCCAGAGCTGCCCCATGGCAATATTGATGCTGATATAGCTGTATTTGGGTTACGGGGCAGTCCTCAAATTTTAAAAGTAAATGAATAAATTGCAGATTACATGCCTGGTAAAGAAGGATAGCAGAAAATAAACCTTGCATGGACAGACAGAATCGGTTGGCTCAATACCAGAAAGCCAGCAATACAACTGCAGGGAGCAGAGTCCCTCTAATGTGAAAACGGTATTTTTGGTGCATTCAGTCCTCTGCAATGATTGGCTGTTGGGTGTGTATCATGGATTCTGGGGAGGAACATGGAAAGCCAGGGCCGGACAAGGTTGGGGGGGGGGGGCGGTGGCACGAGTTGCCTTTCCTAATCCTGGGACAACTGTCGCGGCTCCACCCCTTCTTTTCCAGGCCATCCTGAACAACATGCGGGTGGAATGCAAGTGCCACGGCGTGTCGGGCTCCTGCGAGGTGAAGACCTGCTGGAAAGCCATGCCGCCTTTCCGCAAGGTGGGCAACATGCTGAAGGAGAAGTTTGACGGGGCGACGGAGGTTGAGCAGAGGAAGGTCGGCTCCACCAAAGTGCTGGTCCCCAAGAATTCCCAGTTCAAGCCGCACACAGACGAGGATCTGGTCTACTTGGACTCCAGCCCCGATTTCTGTGACCATGACTTGAAGAACGGTGTCCTGGGCACCAGCGGAAGGCAGTGCAACAAGACCTCCAAGGCCATCGACGGCTGTGAGCTGATGTGCTGCGGCCGCGGCTTCTACACGGACGAGGTGGAGGTGGTGGAGCGCTGCAGCTGCAAGTTCCACTGGTGCTGCTTTGTCAAGTGTAAACAGTGCCACCGAGTTGTGGAGATGCACAGCTGTCGGTGACATGGAAGGAAAGCCTTCTGCCGGGCCCAGGGCCGCTGGAGGGAGGCGGTGCGCGAAGCCCCCTCGGCAGAAGACGCTGCGAGAGGAAACGCTTCTCCTTTTTTTTTTTTTTTTTTTAAAGGGAAAATATTTAAAGTTCCAATAATGATTATATTTTTGGGAGGTGGAGGTGTCTTGGTCTGCTTTATTTATTGCCCCACTGATAAAGCGCCTTCTCCAGGAATAGGTCTGCCCTGCTGCACGGTGCCGGGGGAACAGGCTGGTCCCAAGCGGCCGCTGGGCCCCCATCCGCAGACCCGAAACGGACAGGAAAGACCGCAGATGCCTTGTCCGGGAACGGATGTTCTGATCTAGCACTGGACCGGGAAAAGTGGAGCGGCAGTTTTGTCTCTGCTGTATATATGCACATACGAGAGAAGATGGGGAAAGGGCACTGTTTGGGATCTGAAAGGACACTGGAGAAATTCCAGCAGCAGCTTCCCTTCCCATTCCTGCATTGCTTGCACATAAGCATGGGCTGATATCTACCTGGAGTTCTGCAGGTGGAGGCACACTGAAATGAGCGGGCGCTCTCACTGCCTTGGTCCTCTTCCATGAGCAGTGCCTGGATGGGCCATGCCCCGTAAATTCGGTATCTCAGCCACCTTGTACTTGGAATGCCAGAGGAATCCCCAGCCAAAAATTCTCAGGTTGGGGCACGGCTTGCTTTCCAGAGTATTTTTGGCCCAAACGTAGTTTGTATCATGGTTCAGTAGAACTCCCGCTTTAGACCTCAGCCCATGCTTTCAACAGAACTTCACAGGAGCTACTTTGCTGGGGAAATGTCTGAGTGGTCTCCTTGTACTGCCCCCACCCAATGTAATCCCAATTTCTCCCACCCGTGGGGCTGAGGATGTGATCCGCCACCTCTTCACAACATGGTGGGAGATGCAAACTGAGCTCTGCTATTGTTGTTGGTGAGCCCCAACCTGGAGGGATGAATTTCCTCCCCCTGGATAAATTTGCTGAATGGGGGTGTCTTATGTCTCCTCCCCACCATGTGCTTTCATTTTCTACCCCCAAACTGGGTGGAGGCGTTGGAGAAGCCATTTCCAGGTCTTCGTCGTGGTCTCTCTGCATCACACATAGGAGCTTTCGTGGCAGCGGAAGCAAATCGCAGCCAAAAGGAGGAAGGTCTAGTTGACATGCTCAGAGGCACCACAGAAGAATCCTATCATGGTGGCGGCAGGAAAGTTCTCCATGTGAAGGGACGCTGATCCACAGGCGATTTGTGCTCACGGCTTTCTAAAGTATGGTGTGATGCCACCACGGATTAGGCCCCGAATGTGTGAGAAGTACCTCTGAGCATATACCTTTCAGCCACGTAGAAACAGAACCAATCTGCACGCAGTGAGCAAACCCCAAACAGTTCCCTAGTGCTCTGGGGGAGTTTGTCTTACTGATGGAGGGCACTGAGACTCTACAACGTTCTCTCTCCAGGCCAGTTCCTTGAGTCCTTTGCAGCACCGACACAAAAGGAGCTGCGGCTGGATAGGAACTGGAGTCAAGAAAAAACATGCAGAAGCAATCAAGCCACTCCCTCTCACCGGATTGTCCCTCTTCCTGTGGGCGTCCAGTGCTGGGCGTGGGATAGCTCACCAGTGCCCCCTGCTGCCCCAGTGCTGAACAGCAACAACTGGGGAGACCATGCGGCTTTGCGGGGGGCTGTCCCAACTGGTATCCAAGGCCAGGCCTGATCCCAGTGACCAACATTTTGAAAGAAAAGAGTGCAAACGCCACTGAAAATTGGAGGCACCCTGGCAGCGTTCTGCGTCTGATATATGTCTTTGAGCAAGAGCGAACCGTGCCACCCAAACAGATTTCCAGCCTGATCTTCCTACTACGATGCCTTCTGGATGTTTTGGGACTGCACCCCCCATCATCCCTGACCATTCGTGCTGTTTACTGGGGATGGTAGGAACTGCAGGACAAAACACTGGGAAGGTTACGTGGGGGAAAGCTCATTTAGCCCTGAATGTTGTGGAAATACCCTTTCAGGAAATTGAAGAAGTCTTCTGGACAAAGGATGGGGACTCCAAAAACAGGAGAAGGCTAGAAGGAAGATTCTGTGAGGGGGAAAGAAATTGGTCAAAGAGCAGAGGAGAGAAATGGTAGGAAAGCTGGAGACAACTGGAGGAAAGGAAAGTTGAGAGACTTTTAACTATCCAGTTCCAAATGAACCTGGTCTTCTCTGCTAGTGTAGCCCTTAACTCATTCTTGCATTCTCCTGCAGACCATCTGGAGACTACGGTAACTCAGCCCTTTGCTGGACTAACAAGTACTTACAACTCAGCCAGGACTATCACTGCTGCCACATCCTGCCTGTGCGTTTGTTGTGATGTGCCGTCAAGTAGTCCCTGACTTACTGAACACTGTATGCCTGAAAGCCCTTCAAAATGCCCTCTCCTTGACCACTTCCCTACTGGAGTCCTTCCATCTCATCCTTGGTCTTCTGCCCTCAACTTTCCCTAGCATGACGGTCTTCTCCAGGGAGTCTCCTGGCCTTCTCATGATGTGCCCAAGGTAGGGCAGCTTCAGCTTGGTCACTTTTGCTTCCAGGGAAAGCTCTGGCTTGGTTTGATCTGGCACCCATTTGTTCATCCTTCTGTTGCTCCAGGGTCTTTGCAAAGCTCTCCTCCAACACCATGTTTTGAGCACATCTATTTTCCTCCTCCGGTTTTCTTCCTTGCCTGCCGAGCTTTCACACCTGTACACAGTGATCAGGAAAGCAATAGCAATGTTCTTGGCCTTGGTCTCCAGAGAAACGCCCCTATACTTGATCTCTACTCGTTCCTTCACTGCCACCCTTTCCCATTTTGGTCGTCGTCTTGGCTAGTCTCCATTTGAGCTGATGGCTGAGCTGAGGTATGCAAAACCACATGTGCTCAGTACGTCTAAAATCCCAGCTCCAAAAAGTCCAGTGTTGCAGGCAGCAGCAGTGTTGGCCTTCGTCATGGTCTTGTGATTGCCGTTGCTGCTGTCCATGTAAACATAAGAAGAGTCCCGCTAATCCAACCAAAGACGGATGTAATCCAGCATCCTGTTTTCCCACAGAGGCCAACCAGTTCCCTCTGAAGCCAGCAAGCAGCACATGAACGCAAGAGCCCTTCCTGCTGCGGATCCCCAGCTTACGATAGCCCAGGGTATATTGCTTCTGTACAGACAGGTGCTTAGCCACCAGCATCGCTACCAGCCACTGAAAGACCTCTTCACTATGAATTTATCAACTCCGCTTTGAGAGTCACCTTGCCTATCGCCACACCTGTGGCAGCGAGTCCCATAGGATGAATGAAGAAGTGCTTCTGTTCCCCCGTCTACCTTTCTCACCCCTCATTCTCACTTCCCGCATCACCAGCTCTTTCCTTATCCACTCACTCCACGTCAGCTTCCACTGGGTGCATTGCAAGACAAGGCCACGCATCTTTTCCTGCAGATAAAACCAGTATGTCCATTTCACAAAATGAACTGGCTTGTGGCCATCTAATGGGGTGCGTTTTGAGTTTTAATGGCATCGACAGTACAAATGCAAGGCTCTTTTTCCATCATCGAATCTCCGGGCCCTGGCGTCACATGGCTTGCTTCCCGGACCCCTTGCACAGCCCTTGGGGCAGAATCAGTGAGCATGTATCCCACCCAATTTGGTTCCGATTCGAATCCTGATCATAGGTTTCCCTGGCTAGGACTGAAGCGAGTTGCAGTCCAACAACGCTGCCAAAGCTGCTGGTGTAGATCTCACCTCCTTCCCAGCCTTCTTTTCTGAGCATGCCTCTCTCCTTCCTCCAGTACACCTTGGCTCCTAAACCCTCCTTCCATGTACACCGGGAGTAGTTTTCCCATAGCAGCGGCTCTTTTCCACAAAAGCATTCTTCGCCACAATTTGTGGTTCTTTCTTGGGGTACTCCACTGCGCCTTGTGTTTGAGCCCTTTCTAGTTGTGGCTCATTCACAGAATTTACGTCTTCTGTGTGTGAACCTCTTGTGTTTCCCCAGTCCACCTCATCCCTTTTTCTTACCAAAAGCAACACTCTGTTAAGGAGGAAAGGACTGAATAAACGTGCAATTCCTTTGGAGCCGCTTCTGCTGGGAAGTACCGCAATTGTGCATGAACGATGGAAGGCGCTGAGGGACAGAGTGGATGGCCCCAGCTCTGGGCTGACTCTGGGGCTGTCATCTCCAGGGATGTCCACCTGCCCCGGTCCAGTCTTTGCTCTGAGGTGCTTCTTCGCTTTCTCCATTTTGAGTGCGACAGGTGACCAGTTCTTACCGAGATTGCTCCTTGAACAATAAACCATAGAACTGCTGTTCAATCTATCTAGGCCTGCTGTGGGTTTCTTTCCTTGTTATGTCCTCGCAGCAACCTGGGGATGCCTGGGACCGCCCAACTGTTGCCAAAAAGTGCGCTACCAGCATGCAGGCAGAGAAATAGGTAGACAGAGGTATGAGAAGGCCAGGATCAGGTGAAGACTGAAACCAGCTTGATTGACCATTCAGGCGTCAATAGAGGAGTCAGCATGCACACCAAAGACACACACGCCCAAGAACCAGTACCTCTGTAAGCTGCTACGCAATAGCTTACTTGTTGTGATGTGCCGTCAAGTCCTCCCTGACGAATGGTGACCATGTGAATCCAGTTCTTACCAAGCCCTCCAAAATGTCCCCTGAAATCCCAGTGGAGCTGCTCTAAATTCCAGGCTGCGGCTTCCTGGATGGAATCCATCCACCTCTTAAATGGCCTTCCTCTTCTTCTTCTGCCTTTGGCTTTTCCTAGCAGGATTGTCTTCTCCTGGGAGTCTTGCCGTCTCACGTCCAAAGTATGATCGCCCCAGTGCTGTCACTTTTGCTTCTAGGGAAAACTCTGGCTTGATTTGCTCTAGGACCTGCTTGTTTGTCCTTCTGTCGGTCCAGGTATGTGGCACCTTATGGCGAAGGACAATTAGGGCTACAACGTTATGTGCACTTACCTGGACTGCACCCTGCTAAACCCAGTGAGGCTTACAGATGATAAGAATGGCAGGGTCTCCCGCCTGCCTGATGGGCACTGAACACCTGGCTAAGGGGCCTGAAGGTGCATGATTAAGCTTCCCACCAG